TTTTTTTTTTTTTTGGTACCAGAGGTTGAACTTGGTCCTTGGGCTTTTGAGGCAGGCAGTGAAACCACTGAGCTACATCCTCAGACCTTTAATAGTTTTTTGAGCATGGTATCTGTTGGTTTTACACCAGTGACCCTAAGTGATAGGCCTTAGTTTCCTTTGCTTTTCTGCTTAAAAGTTTTAAAGCTTTTAGCAACTATTTAGTTTATACTTTTCCTTGAAATCATTATGTGATTTTAAAATCTGAATTTAGACCATACTCCTTACTTTCTTCTGGTGTTCTGTAATTGAGAGAGATGGGAGGTGGCTGATAGCTAAAGGTCACAGGTCTTTTTTGAGGTCATGAAATGTTCTAAAATTGACTGTGGTTATGATGATACATATTTATGAATTAAATTAAAAAACCACAGAATTGCATACTTTACATAGGTGAACTATATGGTGCATGAACTCTGTATCAATAAAGCTGTTCTATAAAAGGGCCAGAATACATTTATTATATTTCTGAGTGGAATGCCAATTTGGACTTTGGTGTAAAGCCCCTGTTCCTTTTGGTAGATGTAACCTACAATATGGGTGGGGAAAAAACGTCCATGGGATTATACTCATTACCTACATAAATGCTCATTGCTTCTGGATCCTGCCCCCCTTCCTGTCTTTTCAGGAAGTCACTCTAATAGCTCATCTTCTCATACAGCCAATTTTCCCTCTCCACTCACTGGTTTTTCCCTATCAGTACATGCACACATCAAGACTTTCCCTAACGAAACCAAAAAGGCTCTCCTTGGATGCCATTAGCTCCCTTCCAGCTATACCCATGTTTGCCACAGTCCACATCTCTTTCCTCATTCACTCCTCAGCCAAACTCCACATGGCTTCTACACCTAGTACTTTCCAGCTTTCAGTCAGTCACCATGACTTACTTACAGGCCATGGAATGCAATTTTCTATGTTCATTATGCCTGAGCTCTGGGTAGCATTTAGAGTTGATTACACCCTCTTTTTAAAACTGTTCCTCCCTTGTCCTCGGTGACTCATTACTGTCCTAATTTTCCTTCATAGCTCTCTGATTTCTCCTTCTTGGTCTCTTTTTGATTCGTCCTCCTTGAATATTAAGCATTCCTCAAGGCAGGGCACTAGGATTCCTTTTCTCATTCTGTGGTTCCTCTTTTAAGTGATCTCATCCACACCCAGTGCTTTAATTAACTCCTAAATGCAGATGCCTCACAGATTTCTATCTTGAATCCATTTCTCTGCTTCCTGGCCTTACCAGCACATTCAGCAGTCTACTCAAAATGTCTCGTCTGTATCTCAAATGTAACCCATCGAGTCAGAACTCATGACCTTGTCCTAATGCCTGTTCCCTGTTCCCTACCTCAGGTAGCAATACCACTAGTGATGCTACTGTACCTGTCAGGAACTCAGCAATGTCAGTGTCAGGACTGTCAACAATCCCCTCTATTCCAAGAGCTAAGCCATTACCTGCCTCCCAAATCCTTTCACGTATGCCCCTCTCTGCTATCACAACTCAACTCAAAGTCCCCGTTACTCTTGTCTCAACTACTAAACAGGCTATCAGCTGGTTTCTTTGCATCCCCTTTGGTCCCTTAAGATTCTCCACATCACAACTACAATGATCTTGCCATAACACAAATGATGATTCGGACACTTCCTCTGTTCAAATGCTCCAACGATTACTGCTCTTAGGATGTAGCAAATTCTTAACGGTGAAACCTCAAGGCTTGACCAACTATTTAGCCTTACCCTACTCTTCAATTCCTCTCCCACTATCTGTTCTCCAAGTGCTCTGGCCACACTGGTCTCCCTGCAATGTTCTTTGCACCAACCTCCTGGCCAGCTTTCATTCATCCTACACTGTTCGGCTCAAGGATCAACCCCTTCCTTGGAGAAGTCTTTCTCAGTAAATTCTACAACACTTTCCTACTATCAGGTAGTAGTACTACCAGGTACTTCTTTAGACTGTTTCTCATACTGCATATAGTTTTTCTTTTCCCTGTGATTTCTAAGGTAATTACTTTCTCTTTCATTGTGTTCCATCAGGAGCCCAAGACTTGCAGGTGCTCCATAATGTCTGATGAGTCGCTGAACATCAGTATACATGATCACAGGGATATAAAATCCTGATTAAAACAGGATAGGGGAAAGGTGGTGTTATTACACCATAAAGTCAAGAGATTCCTTAAAATGTAGTGCAGATACAAGGACCTGAAGGAAGGACAATTTTGTTACATCTCACCAAGAAAGCTAGGAGAGCAGTTCTTTGAAGAATAGAAAGATTGATATAATCAAGCACAGAGAATGTGCAAAATACTTAATTCTAGCTAAAAAAAGAAACAGGGCACAGTCTGCCTGGTTAACTCCAAGGAGCATCACACAAAGGAAAGAAATACACCCAACTCAGGTGGATTTCCAATGTTTTTTTGATACCAGGAATCAAACTCAGGACCTTGCACTTGTCAGGCATACGGGTGTGGTGCCACTGAGTTAAATTCCCCGGCCCTGGACTTGCAAGTCTTTACCTTCTCAGGCAAGATCAAGCAAAGCAGATTTCAGTTGCAGTAACATTTTAACTCTTGAAAAGGAAAAGAAGATATTTAAACTAGGAACCAAAAGCTTTGTCTAGTACCGTTGAACAAACTTTCCTCTAAGAATGGGCAAAACCCCCAAATTACCTGAAATATGCATAAATAAGTGGAGTTCAAAGGAAGAGGCAAATGATTAAGTTACAGCTAAAGTAGATTTGACAGAGTTCCAATGATGAGTAAGGGAAGAAAGAGTTTGGCTGATTAATCCAGTAACGCTGGTCGTTTAATGACCAAGTGCCTAAGCTTGGGTCTCAGTGTGGATGCACAGCGCCATAACCTGAGCCGAATGAGGAAAAAGCAGTCTCAGTGCTGGAGGAAACCCTGAGTCACCGGACACCCACACTGTACACTGTTCCATATGGACAGTCGGTTAAATTCAGATGTAAGTGTACACTAAAATGTTCACTATGTTGGTACAAATCAGTTCATCCTGCCCACAAAGATATCCCTCCAACTTGAAAATATTTATCTCTAACAAATAATCAAGTATATAAGTTTAACACATATAGACAGGTCTACTAACTATTTTGAAAAATAACACCATTAACAATGCCAAATATAAAGCTAAACACTACAATGATTTAACAGAAAGTGCTAAATGATGGTATTCTGAAGCAGGTAATGAGCAGGGAGAGCAAGACTTTAAAACTAGGCTGTTTCCATGGCTAGTCACCATCTAAGAAAATCAGCAGCATGACATGAGAGAAAAATTAAGAATTTTTAACTTTATTTATTATTCATTAGTAGTCCTGATAAATGAGAGCTCTGTTCATATTTCAATTTATAACTTTTTTGTTTGTTTGTTTTTGTTTTTTGGTACCGGGGATTGAACTCAGGTCCTTGCGCTTGCAAGGCAGGCCACCGAACCGCTGAGCTAAATCCCCAGCCTCAATTTATAACTTTTAATTACATGTGCATTTCAATGATTTCTGTTCCTCATTATGCGAACAATTTCCAGATGACTAAACAAAAAATAAAGGAAACATGTTCAAATATTACTAGGAGAGATCAGAAAAATTTAAGAAGTATTTCACAAGAGAAGGCAATTCAGAATGCATTTCCGGATTTACGCTATCACACAGAGAGAGGACAGACTTGGTC